GTTTATTCTTTCACCTAAAATTAGAAGAGATTTGTTGTCATGTTAAAAAAACATTTTGTTTCTGAATTAAGAAAAAAGTAGCAAAAAAGTATGGATATTTTTTCTATGAGATGCGGATTTAGTGGAAAATTAAAAGCAAACACAAATAGATCTAAAAAAATATTACTGGTACTTTTACTGTCATTCTGCTGTGGAAAACGTTGAATGAAAACTCTGAAAAGCTGCTTAAACCTGCATGTTTTCATTACTGTGGGCCTGTCTATATTATTAAAAGGGTCAGAGCCACTACAGAGTCATGTTGTGGTGACGTGAGAGGAAGAGTGAAAAAGTAAAGCTGTTGCTGTATGCTTCTTCATGTTGAATTCAAATAAAATATAAACAAGAAATATATGATAAGAATATAATTTTATATATGCAGCAGTGATGTTAAGGCTAAAAGAGGGCTTGTTCGAGTTAGCAGCGCCTCGCCTGTAAAACAGACGAGAGCAGACGGACGCAGCAGGGGGAGTGGCTGAAAGCCGGCGTTTAAGCCGAACAGATTTCCCTACATGTAGCTCACGGGTGACGATGGATGAAGATATCGCGTTAGAGTTCATACTTGTTTCATTTTTATTTTCATTCTGGTGCCTGTTAGCAACCGAAACACATCCTCACATGCTTGTGGATATAATATCATGCATATGGAGTCATGACTGTAAGAATAAGTAAAGGTTATCAGCTGTAGCTTTAGTGTACTCATAGGAAACGTGACAAAGAACACATTTCGTCTACGCGTTCTGTTCCATGGCGAAATCGAAACTTCCGTTGTTTTGTTTGGCTGTGTCAGGTTGGAGGGAATTAAGGTTATTTAAGCGGTTCAGAGTTAACAAAGCGGTAGATATGATGTTTCACAAGGTGCTGCTAGAGTTATGTGAAATCTTACTTCTGATTTTACTATAAAACATAATAATAATCAACTTCTCCTTCATGTTTGCTCGGAGGTGTACGGAGCATCCTGCCCGCTCATTGGTCAGCAATAAAACCTCCGTTGATTGGTCCTCGTCCGAGCGACAGCGATGAAAAGTTGAAAATATTTCAACTTTCTGGGATCGCGTCGCTGGGTCGTCCGTGGCGCTAAATTTCACATGCATGTTTTTTGCATTTCGCTTAGTAGGTGTCATGTTTTGAGGAAGATGTCTAACCCAAGACATACGGAATCAAGCACGGAGAGGATGTAAAGGAAGAACAATAATTGATTTAAATGTGGAGGTGAACTGAAGACGTTCTGGAGATCCAACGGAAGGACGAGTCTGGAAGCGGTAACTAGGGGGAAGACCAGAGGTGAGTAATGGGAGTTGTAGTTCTGAGGAAATGTTTGTGGGCGGAATTTACGATGAGGAAGTTCGGGATGAATGCGGAGGGGAGATGAGCCGGGGTGATATCCAGAGAAGACTTGTGATATCGGGGTGGGTGAGCGGAACGGGCGAGGTGGATGAAGATGAGGCAGAGGAGAGAGAGCGTAATCGGTGGAGAGCGGGGCGGCTGGGTGGAATCGTAACCAGGCAGCGAACCGGTGAATAATCCTATGGCTTGGAGATGGGAACGGATCCAACGATGGTAAGTCTGTGGGTGGATATCCAAGCAGAGAAAAACGAGCACAAGTTAAAACGAGTTCCAAGAGTCTCAAAGGTTCAAAAAATAAGACGAGGTTCGAAAACAACGAGAGGCTAGAGTCTACCAGGCAGTAGATAATCATCCGGCGTTGAATGAGGATATTCCTCCTCCTTTTAAAGCCGCCCCACTGATCAGTCTGATGCGGATCAGCTGCGCTCCCTCTCCTGCAGGCAAAAACTCAGAGATGATGAGATGATGGGCAGAGTACTCACCCCGGCTCATGACAGTAGGAGGGAGACCCGCGATTATCGCTTTGTCACGCATGTCTCATTGAAAATGAATGGAGGAGAGGCGATGTCGCCTCCCGTGTGTCGAGCCCATAAATCAGCATTGTTTACCTGATCTCCACAAACACTTTACTGATGGCAAGGTAGTCCTCCACGCGTTACCGAGATGTTGGGCTTTTCCAAGGGCTTCTTCTCAAATGTTAACTTTGGACGTGGGTCTCCTTTGGCTGGTAAATGTTTACAAACAGCATACACAGCGTGTCCCCGGCTCGCCAGCAGATTAGCTGGTGGATAAAAGTCAGCATTGGTTTCTTGATCTCCAAGCCATGGCACTGCCAGTGATCTCTCCATAAAAGATCGTTTTCTTTTTCCAGATCCTTTAGCTGGTAACAAGCTTGTTTACAAAGCTGCTCTCATCCATGTGAAACAGGTGTTGTGGGAAGTTACGTTCCCCTGAAATATCCAGTTTCCCTTAGGCAATGAAGAGCAAATATTCTAAATTCACAGAACTTACTGTCCATTATGAGGACTAAACAATCCAAAGTAAAAGATGGTTAAACTGAGTAAGATTACATCCATTTACATACCTTTCAGCAATGATAAATAAGCTTGTAAAGAGTGAACAGAAATGTTTTTACTGTATTTTTTAATTGTTTTTTGGAGGACATATAAATATATATATATATATATATATACATATATATATATATATATATATATATATATATATAACATCACAAGCATGACATGACGTTACATTACATAATTTTCCCGTAAAAGTCCATCCCAAATGTTGTGAAAAAAGCCTGATGTGTGACTTCCCGACACGGGGGACAGAACATTTTAGGGGAACACAATTTCTCACAACACCAGACCTCCCGGCTGACGTCACCCCTCCTCCGTGTGTGAATCATGACCGCTTCAAGAACAGAACTAGCTTGGTTCCTTCAGGACTGGTAGGTTGATAAACAGTCATAATTATAAATGCTTTTTATCTGGAAGAGTAGTTATATGCTCAACACATTCTCACACTTGAAGCGGCTAAAAATAACGAAGAGTGACAAAGCGTTTGTTTCCGATGTGCTGTGCAAGAGTGTAGCTTTCTGATGCTCATGGCAAAACGGAGATTTCACCGACATTTAACCTCTAACCTCTAGCAATTTAACCTTTCCCTCTCTCCATCCTAATCTTAACCCAGTTTCTCATTCTATATTTCCCGTTAACCGTGTTTGAGGAACGAGACAAGTAGAAACAAAACCAGTGTGGGCTAGGCTGGGGAGACTGGAAACTCATAAGTGGGCCACCGTAGCTGCAATACTTTCTCTGAACTGCACGGCGCTAAAGAGTCAAATTTTTTATGATAAATGAGCCGCACTTGTACAGCGCCTCTCAGAGTAAGGACTCCAGAGCGCTTTACACTACAGGGTATCATTCATCCATTCACACACTGATGGTGATGAGCTACGATGTAGCCACAGCTGCCCTGGGGCGCACTGACAGAGGCGAGGCTGCCGAGCACAGGCGCCACCGGTCCCTCTGACCACCACCAGCAGGCACGGTGGGTTAAGTGTCTTGCCCAAGGACACAACAGCAGAATTCTCTGTCCGGAGCCAGGATCGAACCTGCAACCTTCCGATTACTGGACAACCCGCTTAACCTGTTGAGCTACTGCTGCCCCGATTATCATGATTTCAATGGATTTCACACATGGGGCCTTTAAGAACTAACACTAAAAAGACTCGCATGCTGTTTTAAAAGCCAAATCATAAAAATAGGTTTTCAAAAGAGATTTAAAACCAGACAGTGTAGCGGCCATAGGGCCGCTTCAGAGAAAGCCCGGTCACCTCTGCTTACGTCTTGTTTTTGGGTCTTCCAGGAGCATCCTATCAGCCGACCTCAGAGACCGCGCAGGGGAGTAAAAACCAGTAGCTCACAGAGGTCATCTGGAGCAAGGCCATGCGCAGATTTAAAAGCACCTTGTCCTGGATTCTAAAACAAATAATGACTTTAACATTTTTGTATGCTTTTACAGCAAGGAGAACAAGAAGTTTGGCACCCAAGATCCAAAAAGTATTTCGTAAAGATTTAAGTATTTATAGTTTGTGAATGAAACAGGGTCAAAGGTGAGTGAAGATGTCGAACGGCGTGTAGGAATTTCTACAACAAAAACATCACAATGTCCAGTCCATCCAGGACAGTGCACCTCACCTCACCATAACAAAATAATATGATCACATTAAACCCTTTCCTCCATCGGCATCTTGTCTCTGCCAGAATAAGGTTGACCTCCTAATCCACCAGCACATCCATGGTAGTGCTTCTCCACATCTCACCACACTTCACATTGCATGGCCTCCGTTCTAAAGATACTCTTCTCTGTCTCCAGGACCCAACTTTCCAGCATGGAGCAGGGCTTTCTGCTCAGTGGCACCTCGTTTCTAGAGTTCACTTACATTTGGGGGAACCACAGACCACCTTAACCTTTCAAAAATATCTAAAATGTTTACCATTCAAATTTACAACCAACTGATTGAACTTGTTTTTTGAATTTGCTTTCATGATAGTTTTGTGCTTATATCGGGATTTGAACCATTGCTGAGGAGCAGTGGGCCGCCATTTTTACTCAAGGACATTGACACTAGCCTGGGGTTTGGAATCAACCCGCCCAGCTTCCAGTCATTGGACAACCACTCTTCCCTCCACCTACCACACACAAAAATCAGGACTGACAGCAAATTCATCCCGGGTTTGCTGGGATACAATGTGAGCTCGCTTTTCAGAAGCTAGGTTGTCACCCGCTCATATTTCTTTTACTTCCTGAGACACAATCCTTCAAGTATTTAGTTGAAAACCTCCAGTAAATATCTGATCAGTTACTGTAAATGGGACTGAACAAGAAGTCATAGACCTGAAGGACAGGCAACAAATCAGACATTGTGTTTTGGAATGTCACCTGGCTTCATAACAAAGGTGTGACCCTCCTGCCAGTCTCATCCATCCTCCCAGTGGAGGGGTGAGGCTAGGTGTGACTGCTTCTGGAGGAATGCTGCTGTGTGTGTTTTAATCTCTCTCTCTGACATCAGATAAACAACAAAACAATGAGGCAACAGCCGTCAGAAT